ACCCATATGGTGCGGCTTTAAGTGATCGGCAGTTCGGCGATCATGGCATGTATCCAGTGTCACGTGGTAGATCAGTAACCAAATTGTTACAACCACTGAGCTATAGACCCATAGGTCAATTAATTTAAAAAAGTTTTTATTTTTTATTATAATTTTTTTTTAAAAAAAAACTCTTTTCCATACATAATATTTTTTTTAAAAATCTTTCTTTATAGTTATCTTTTAAAATTAGAGAAAAAATTATTCTTTTTGCTTTTCAATATCCATAAGTTCTTTACACTTTTTTAACTTTTATTATCAAAAATCTCAAAAACTAAAGAAACATACTAATGCATCAAAATAAAATCTTTGATCAGGATTAAGCAAGTTTGAGAAATTTGCTTTTTTCTTGAATTGTATAAGAAAAGACTCATGGCAGTTGTTTTTTACAAGTTTTTTTTGGAGATTTTTTTTATTTTTATTTCTTATTAAAACACTTCTTATTAATATCTAAATATTTTTAAATATTTATGTTTTTGACTTAAAGAACTTTATTTTATTCCAAAATACAAATTCTTACTTTAACTTTGTTTATACTACTGGCCCAGGGAACTATTGATATATATAAAAAACAACTTTTACTATTGTTTAATACATTTTATTGTGCTACAAAAAAAATTAAAAATTCATGCTCAAAAAATTTTTCTCAAAAAACCATAATCAGTTTATTCCTGACAATTGATTATTATCTTATTTTCAACCAATCATACATCACAAAATATTCAAATACATTTTTTATATCTGTTTAAGATCAATGTAAACAATATCAAAAATAGAAATCCATTTAATCACATGACTTTTTTCTATCAATAAACATTAAAACAATAAACACATTTCATTAATCACTAATTAAAAAATAATAACACAATTCTAATTTTGCAAATTAATAATTACTATATCTAAACTCTATCAATCAACTTATCTTACACTCAAACAATTATTTAATTAATCAATCATTACCATCATGTATTATCAATCACCAAGAATATATGCTATTATTACAACTATATATTTTAAACAGTAGTCTAGCTAATTGAAAAAGCATATTCTTCAATATGCTCAAACAAACTGGAACTATTAAAGTAATATGCTGAATAAGCATCCTTAATCATATAATTAGTTTTATTACCTTATATTCAAACAATTATTCAATCAATTAACTACTACCTTCATATACTATCAGTTATTAAGAAAACATGTTATCATTATTACTATATACTTTGGACAGTAACCTGACCAATTAAAAAAGTATACAGTATTATTCAATATACTTAAATAGAATAAAACTATTAGAGTAGTACATCAAATAGGCATCCTTAATCATATAACTAGTTTTATTACATTTTTCATTTGTTTATTATTAAATATAAAAATTTTTTTCTTTTCTTCTCAATTTTCTTGCATTTCTCATTTTATTTATATCCAATCAAAAAATTTTAAGTAAGTAAGCATAACTGCTACTCAGCTATATTTAGTATATATAATATTGTTTTAAAATTTTTTTTCAATATTAATTAGATATAGATGTGTAAGTAGGCTAGCATTTAATTTGTTATATGCTTTTTGTACTCAAGAGATGTTATTTTTTTTATTAGTGTATCTATTAATATTATAAGATAAAAAAATGATATTTATCTACCAGAAAAAAAAATTATTTTTTAATTTATTAAAACTATAGTTTATGATAAATAATAGTTTAAAATATAGATTGACAATAATTTTTTTAAATAGAATATTAAGTATTTTTAATTACATTTTTTTTTAACAAAAGAAAAACCAAATTTTTTATTTTATATAATTATATTTAAAAGGTTTTAAAATTTTGAAAATCTTAAATAATTAATATTACTTAGTAATAGCTTAATGAATCTATTCTCTTAAAATAAAATAATTAGAAAATAATTAAATTTTATATACAATACAATGATCTTGATATTAAGGATTCAAGAACTATAAACAAATTTATAAATATTGAAAAACAAAAAAGCTTTGTAGAAAGCTCTTCTGAAAGTAATGATTCAAAAGAGAATTCAAAAGTAATATACTGTATGTATGTAGTTATCAATAAATGTTTTGATACTTAAAAGAATAATTAATTTTAATACAATAATCTGATTTTATTATCAAAGAGGGTTAATAAATATATTAGTATGCAAGGAAAAAAACAATTATTATATGATAATGTTACAAACATAGTTATGTATCATTATAATCAATGTATTTTTTTTAAAAAACCAATAATTTAAAATGTTATGTATTTTTTTTAACAATTGTTTTTATGACGAATGTAATTATATTAAACGTTGTATTATACTACATTCTTTATATTGTACTTTGACAATGAAAAGAAATCGCACTTAAGGGATTCTTCTATAACTTGTGATTTAAGCGGTATAAATGTTAAATGGATAATTGATGTTAAAAAAAAGTAAAAATTTACTACGTACAGTTAAATATGTATATACAAACGGAGTAAAAGATCATTGTTCTTTGTTTCTTTCAATATATGCTGATTTGATGGAATCTTTTTTTTGTTAACCCTGCTGCGTCTTGACTCATTCACATTCGCTAAATGAAGTAAGTTAGCCCTCATTACGTTATGAAAATCGCAAATCACAATCCTGCATACGCGCGTACATACGTAATATTAACCAAATTTGATCCGTGCTACCATGTAAAAAAACGTACAACAATCATCTACATTTATTGCTGTTTAAACTTTCTGTAGTACGTTATCTTGTTCGAAAAAATGACTTTAAAATTTTATGATAAACTATCCAGAGATTTCACTGACCTGCTCGATGATAAAGAGGAATATAATGTTATCATTGAAGTTGGTAAAGAACCTAACAAGAAGTCATTTACTGCACATTCGGCGATATTGCGGTATCGATCCTCATACTTTCGTAAAGAGCTAAGCAAAGCCATAGCAAACGAAAGTCAAATTAAGACAATTATAAAACCAAACATTTCCGCCGAGTTTTTCGAAATAATCCTAAAGTATGCAATAATCCTCATGATTATAAAAGATTAATATGAACCTAGTAATTAAATTTTGTTTTCTTCAGGTATACGTATGGCGGAGTTGCATATTTGGAAGACGCAGATGAAAGGTTTATATTTGACTTGATGATAATAGCCGAAGAGATTGAACTGGACGAGTTGTTTAGACAATTGGAACTTTATCTTATTCAAAAAAAATCATCTTGGTTAAAATCGCATTTCTTGTTTATCTATCGTTCGGTTTATGAGAAAAGCAGCTTCCAAAATCTAGAAAAATTTTGTCACACAATCGTATCAAAACATCCAGATCTTATATTTGACGCAGTGGATTTTACTTCTCTTAAGGAGCCAGCCTTGGTTTCTCTACTCAAGAGAGATGACCTGGAAATAGCCGAAGTCAAGATTTGGGAGAAGATCATCATGTGGGGAGTTGCTCAACAAAAAAACTGGTCTCCTCATCCTGACGATTGGCCTAAGGAAAACTTTGGAATATTGAAGTCGACTTTACAAAATTGTTTGCCACATATTCGTTATTTTCACCTTTCTGACGTAGAGATATGGGAAAAAGTTAAGCCTTACAGAAAAGTCATTGATAAACAACTCTGGGAGGATCTACAACAACATTTACTATTCCCTGATAGACCCGTTGTCTCCGTTATTTTACCACCAAGAATAAAGACAACTCCATCTCTAGAACCACCACTAAAAGTAGAAGCTTCTTTCTCGACTATCATTAATAATGAGCACGCTGCTGAAATTGCATCTTGGGTTGATCGTAAAAACCAAATAAATGCAAGAAATATTCCGTACGAGTTTCAATTAATTCTCCGAGGGAGCCGAGATGGATTCGATCCTCAAACCTTTTGGAATATATGCCATGGTCACACAAAAACAGTAGTGGTTTTGAAAGTGCGAGTAACCGATGAGATACTTGGTGGATATAATCCTCTTGCATGGGATAAAACAACCGAAGGATCTTGGATAAAAACAAATGACAGTTTTATATTTTCGTTGAAGAATAAGAACCTGAGAAATTCAATTTTAAGCCGAGTAAACAATCCTGGGTGTGCTGTTTGGTGCGCTAACAGACCTCTACAAAGAACCTTGGGTCCATGTTTTGGAAATTCGGAGCTGAGAATATGTACGAAAGCATCGGATTTCTCTAAAGATAAACAAAGCTATTGTCATAGTTCTTGTTATTACGAAAAACATATTAGGTCAACAATCGAAGAATTTTCCACTGTCGAATACGAAGTGTTTAAACTTAATCTGAAACTTTAGTCAAAAAATATTTAAAAAAAAAGGAACTTGGTATTTTTTTTGGTATAGACATGTAAAAAGTCATTCTGCTTTTTTAAAGAAAAATTTTAAGAAAAAAAATTCATCATTAGCTAGTAGTGATTTTCTTGAAATATATATATATATATATTTATATATAATTACTGTATAGTCATTATCACATATAAAAATATATTATTTATATTAATATCCAGAATGGTTTTTTAACGTATGTTCTTACAATAAAGTATCATGTTTTTATGTAGAAATGAAAATTGAAACGATGCGTATGAAATAACGAACAGACTGTATATCCATTATTTATTTAATTCAACGCTTTCTGTGGAATAGAATAATATACATAAATCATCTAGGCAAATGATAATTATTTTACGAGTAAGCGACGGATCATGTCAAACCACTACTCATTATACAGTATTGAGCAGACAAATGATGAGATATTTCCATACAAAGTATTAATAAACACATCGTAGATGCCAAATTTGTTGTTCAACTCGGGTATAGAAAAAATTGAACGTATTTTCTTTTTCTAATGATGTATTGCGTACCAGGAAACGTAAAGCGGAATTAACTTTTAATAACCATTTACAGTATACGTACAATATTTAATTTATAGAAAACTGATTTTAAAATAGTTAGTCATTACTGTATATCATATTTAGAACAAAATCGTATCTATTACCGAGTATACAAATTATAAAATAATAAAGAAACGACTCAAACTAAAATTGAACAAACCTTTCTTAATTTATTAGGTAATCACTTCGCCTTAACAAAATCGGAAAAGTTTATCTTCATAACAAACATTGAATTTTGCTAAACCATATACTGTATATCGTTAAACTATATACAGAAAGACTTCCCTAAATGCATCCTCTTTAATTCTCCTATTATATTTTTTTCTCTCTAAATATGCAATCAAGCTTGATCCCAAGTATATAAAACTTTTAATAAAATTATCTTTATAAATTCACATCTTCTATAAATATACATTTTTAAAAAATTTTCCTGTTGTCTTGAGGAATATGCATTTAGAAAGGATTTTACGATATAAATTTATGCTAATTAATGAAACATCTATATAAGAAAGTTTTTTTACTTTGGGAAATAATAGAGTTGTTTGGTTTCTCTCTAATTTTATAAAGTTTTTTTTAGTAATAATAAATAATATCTTGTTTTTAACTTTATTAACATAAAATATTATATTATATTATAAATAATATGTAAAAAAAAACAATAAAAATCTTTGAAGAATCACCAATATAAATACTAATATATCTATTAAAAAATATTGAAATGATATCTTGTTTTCTTTAAGATCTCTAGATTTGATAATTTATATTAACTAAAATATAGTTTTTAGAATATTTACTAGAATATATATATAAATATTAAATATTTTCTAATTTTATAGTTATATAAGTCAACAATATAATATAATATGGATTATTAAGTATTAATATATATTTTATTTCTTTAAAAAAAGTTTATTCTATTATAAACAAAAAGCATAATCAGAATATTTCTAAATTGATCTCTTAAAATGATATTTTATATAATTTTTTTATAGTAATATTTAAACTAATTAAATTAAATATAAATTTATTAATTAGTATAATTGAGTTTACAGATGATTAACTTTGTTTATCTAATATTCAGAAACCTATTACTTGATGATTTTCCTTTATGATATTAAAAAACTATAAGAGATAGAAATCCTATTACTAGTTTTAAACTATTTAATTTATAGAATTTAATTTTTTTATGGGGCTTATACAATTAATTATTTAAATAAGTTATCTATTATATTATACTTTTTTATTTGTATAGCATATATAGTAACAAGGACTTTTGATATAAATATATACTTTCTAGTAAATACTTCAGTTTTGACTATTGGTTAATATTAATTATCAAATCTAGAAAATCTTTGATTAAATAAAATATAGCTCTTTAGAATTTAATCTAATTAAACAATACTATTTAAATAACCTTTTTATGGTTTTAAGTAACTATTTATAAAAAATTATATATATATATTTTATAAATAAGAATTTTCTTTGATAATTATTTAAATATAACAAAAATAACTTTTTAATTAATTTTTTGTATAAATAAATAAATTATACAGTATATAAATAATTAAAGTATAAGTGATTTACAATTGAATATAATATTTTAAAAAAGTTATATTTTTTTTTAATCTTGAAAAAAAAAACACTTAAAAATCATAATATAGAAATATTATATTTTTTTATTATTTTATATTCTTTTTTAAAATTTTTTTAATAAAATTAATATCATTATATATATATATTTTTAAAAATTTTTTGATTTTTTTTTGAAATATAATTATTATATATTGTTATTTTTTTAAATATTTTAATATTCAGGCAAAATTTTAAAATTTATTTGAAACAATAATATTTATTTGTTCATATCCAATTATTTAATATTATTTGAAACAAAACATATGTAATTTTATTAATAATTTTGAAGTTTGTTAAGTAAAAAATTAAAAGTTTTAATATATTAAATTATAAATTGCAATTTTTTTTAATATTTATTTAATTATTTTATTTTATTTGTATTTTGTTTTTTTTTAAAGCAGTAATAGTATAGTATATAATTATACAGTATATTATAACTTTTATTGAATTAATAATATAAATCAATTTTAAGAATTTGATTAAATTACATAAGAAAGAAACTTTTAATTAAAATTTTTAAAACTTGAATTATTTTATTAATAAAAATTATATATATATATTATGTAAATAATTTTGTAATATGAATATGAATATATAATATATTTATAACTTTTTAATATTAATATGAAATTTTTTATTTTATAATTGTATCAGTTAAAGATACAATATAAAAAATTATTTATTATTTATTAACCTATATTATTTTTTATACATTTAATAAAATGTTTGATTTGTTTTTTCTAAATCATATAGTTTGACATGTTATTATTTAAATATCAATAGTTTTTGTAAATTTTATCATAATAATTTAAATGGTTATTTTGATAAATTAGAACTTATATGAATAAAAGATATAAAAGAATTTTTTTATTGTATATTTTATTTATATCGTTTTAATAAAGAATTAATATTTATTAAAAGATAAAACAAAATCAATATTTTATTATTCATTAATAATTATTCTAAGTTTAACTCAGATTTGAAAATCGTATGTCATATACTGTATTTTACATTTAACAATTTAAAGTTTTAAAAATATAAATAGTTTTAAATATTTTAATTTTAAATATTTTAAAGAACTAGAAATTGAATTACGTATTTGTATTTTAGTTGCATGATACAGTATCGAATAAGTTTCAAAATTATTGTTGATAATGTATCACTCAAGATTGATATGAATATTAAATACGTATTTAATATGGTAAGTATATACTGTATAGATGATTGATTGTTAAAATACGTGATTTACTTAATATATACTGTAATTCTATCAAATTTTTTAACAAAACAGAATGTATACATTATTATAATCACAGGAGTTGGAGACTTGCAAGAAAATTAGAATGGATTTGAAAAATCAAAACTTTATACGTAATTGGTTTTACTTTACTTTCTTTCTTTCTTTAATACTGTACTGTATTTAAGAATTAATTGACATTACACATACCATTATCTTAAGTAAAGTACTGTAATACTGTATGCAGGAATTTATTGGTTCAAACAAACAAATCAAACTTTAATAGACAAGTACAGTACGTAACATGATTGTATATAGGCATACAGCATACAGTTTTAAAAAATATGAGCCTGAAACTCTTGGACAAGTTATCAAAAGACTTTACCGAATTGCTTGATGATAAAGAGGATTACAATGTCATTATTGAAGTTGAAAATAAGAAATCGTTCACCGCGCACTCGACAATATTGCGACATCGGTCATCGTACTTTTGTGAAGAGTTAACTAAAGTCGCCCTGAACAAAAATAATATTAAGATTCTCGTGAAGCCCGATATCTCAGCTAATTTTATTGAAATAATTCTCAAGTATATAATAAGGACCCTCTCATTTTTTTTTAAAAAAAAACAGCATTGGGATTCGGTACAATATTTATAAAATCATTACGCTTTTGTTCATTTCAGATATATCTACGGCGGAATCGTTAATTTAGAAGATGTAGACAATAGATTTATATTTGACTTAATGATATTCGCCGATGAGCACGAGTTTGAAGAATTAACAAAACAATTGGAAAGTTTTCTTATTGAAAACAGAGCATTTTGGTTACGCACACATTTTTCATTTGTTTACCATTCAATCTTTCGAACGCACCATTTTACCAGCTTGAAACAATTCTGTAATGACATTGTGGTAAAATATCCCAACATTATATTTGACGCTATGGATTTCGTTTCTCTCAAAGAGTCAGCCTTAGTTTCTCTTCTTGAAAGGGATGACCTACAAGTTGAAGAAATAGAAATCTGGAAGAAGGTTATACAATGGGGAATTGCTCAGCATAATGATTTACCCCAAAGGCCTGAAGAGTGGACCGAAGAAAACTTCTTAACATTAAGAACGACATTGAAAAATTGTTTGCCACACATCCGTTATTTTCAAATTTCGAATTTAGGCGTATGGGAAAATGTAAAGCCTTACAAAAAGATTCTTGATAAACAATTGTGGAATGATTTGAAACAACATTTGATAATTCCCGACCGACCCGTTACTTCAGTTGTTTTACCTGCGAGATCGGTAATTCCTCAAGAACTTCCGGATAGAAAAGAACCATTTTTCTCGACTATCCTTACTTTCGAACATGTCGCGGAGATATCAGCATGGGTTGATCGCGAAAGCACAAACAATGGTATCCCGTACAAGTTTGAATTGATTTTAAGGGGAAGCCGCGATGGATTTCACCCTCAAACATTTTGGAATATGTGTCACGGTCATTCAAATACGGTGGCAATTTTAAAGGTAGCAGGAACCGATGAAATTCTCGGTGGGTATAATCCATTGGCATGGGATAAGACGACAGATGGAACTTGGATAAGCACAGACGATAGTTTTATATTTTCATTAAAGAACGGCAGCATAAAATATTCAATTCTCAGTCGAGTAAGGAATACGAAATATGCTGTTTACAACTGTGAGCCCTTTCATAGGACTACAACTGGCCTACATTTTGGAAGCGGCGAGCTGAAAATGAAAACCAAAGTACTTGATTTTTCTCGAGATAAGCACAGTTACTGCAGGGGACCCTATTTTTATGAAAAAACCATCAGAAGGACAAGCGAGTATTTTTCGGTGGTTGATTATGAAGTATTCAGGTTGGTAAAGTTTTGAAGTGATCGAGTACAGTACAGTACAGTACAGTATAAGGTTACGTAAAGAATGTACAATAAATTTGATAATGTCAACTTGTGAATGAATCTGAATCTGTAATGAGGGAGGTTTTACTATTTTTAAATTGGAATTACTGTAATCACATCATACACGTCAATTCATTCACGATACATATGATAATGCTTCTCTTCGTTCGTTCGTTCGTTGATACAATATTTTGGAGTGTTCGTATCATTCTACTGTAATTCATTCGCTTTACAGTATACAAAATGTGGACGCGATTTCTTAAAATAATCTCGAGATCGTTGTTGATGCATGGCGGGAGTAATATTAATAATACTGTAAGGACAGAGTTAGATCAATGGATGCGTTTTTCATCAGTCAACGGTTCAATAAGAGCGAACGATCACTTAAAAAGTACATGAATCAACAGAATTATTCGTTCTTCAATCAACATCGCCCAAGTTTGCATATATAAATTTTGTCGTATTTCTTATTTCTTTGGATTCCTACCGCAATACGCGCGCAAAAAATTTTTAAATGACATCCGATTATGAGACAGATAGATTCGAAGGGGAGGTACCGGTTGAATACCGATGCTATTTTATGGATATAGCTACCATTCCTCCTCCTAAAATTCACCCAACCAGCGTCTTGAGTCCAAGCGCTGTCTTCATTTCCTACATATGGAAAGTGTTCACCCATACCTTCTTTACTTTATCAACCAATTTGTTGATGCCATTTAATCAACCATTAAATTTCTTAGCTATAGTCGTGCTCTATCCACTTTCCATTGTGCTTATTCTGCCGATTGACATTCTGTTGAGAATTGTTAATTTTTTTAAAATCGGAGAAAACATTAAATTTTATGACGATGATACATGGCAGCAAATTACCAGACCAGGTTTAAGTGAGTGAATCGGGTTTTTTCTTTTTCTTGTAAAAATTAGCTTATGCAATGTTCTATTTCTAGGTCTACAAAACATCAGAAAGCGGGGTATAAGATCACTAAGCGAACCTCCTCCCACCCTGGAAGATCTTGAATTGAATCAATCATCAACATACAGTCCGATATTTAACCTCGATATGGCCGAAACCCTTTTGTTTCTATCAGCAATAACTTATCACAGAGATCCGGACCCACTTTACAAGGCCTACGAAATTATCCAGGAACAAGGATTTGACTATGAGAAAGTGGACCTTAAGGAGATCCAAAGTCTTGTCGATAAGTCTGTTGAAAAGATCAGTGATTATGCAAATGAATGGGATTTAAATTTTCAACCCCTCTCAGAACTCGGTTCTCTTTGTAATCATTTTTCCGGGATGTTTTGGCCGAAAGACCAGAGGCATAACTTTATCGTCGTAGTATTTAAAGGTACTACACTGACAAATTTTACCGAGTGGTTGTCGGATTTCCTATTTACTCGCGTTGATGCCCGCGACTTCCTTTTCGGAGAGCTTCACAGTGGATTTTATAGTGCTTTATTTCCTGATGATAATTATACCACCTCCCGAGTATATGGATCTTATCCTTCTCGTAGGATGGTTGAGGCCATACGTGGTAAGGCCGATGAAATTGCCGCGTTCAACCGTAAAAATGCAGGCGACGAAGATTTTAAACCGGTAAATGTTTGGGTTACTGGTCATTCGCTTGGTGCCGCTTTGGCTCAAGTTTTCTACGCAAGGTAAGAGTGAGTTGGTTTCTTATATCATGCCATCACCATGTAATTATTTATTTATTTATCATTTCAATTTGTGCTCTCAGACTAGTAAAGACGGACGACAGCCTTGGACCCAATGCAGTCTTGAGAGATGCATTCGCGTTCGCAGCTCCATCAGTAGGGGATAATGATTTCTTTGTAGGATTTAATGGGACTCTTAACGAACGTATTTATGAAACTCGAACGCTCTGGCGGGTGATCGACGACAATGATATAGTTCCGACGTTGCCCTGGAGGCATCCTTACCCTGGCATCCGACAATATCTCAAAAAAAATGACGTTTTGAATTATTTTCACATTGGCGATTCGGTAAAGTTTTTTCAATACGATAGAAAACCAGAGAGTAAAAGAGATATCTTGGGGAATGTTAAAGACGTTTCCAGTATCCGTAAGAAAATATCATGGAAGGATCTGAAACATAGGCAACATAGGCTACGCCTTAGAAGCTGTATGCCGAGGTCATCCAAGCTTCGTGAGTACGTTGGATTCTGGATTCCGAGGGGAGGGAAAAATGATTACAACATAAAAATGTATGGTCCACTAGAGTCTTTGTTGCCTAACTTTTTTAGAAATCATATACCCTATCGTTATTTTTCAGCAATGGAGAGGGCTAGACATTACTTTGAAAATTATGATAAAAATACGGAAGATATGTAAATATGACGAAATCTTCGATCAAAAATGACCATGTAATTGTGACAAAATTTGACATCAGTGAATTGGGAATTTAAATACAGTAGAGTCTCGCCTTTTTTTCTTGAGCAATAAGAATTGTTTTACCGAGACCATGTCTGAAATCAGTGCGAGACTTTCACCTTTTACTGAAGACCTCCAGAAAGCCATTAACCATCATATCTACTGCGAGTTTCAGGCGAGCTTTGTCACGTTATTTTATTATTGAAATACACTGTATTTATGCGAAAGTATTTACAGTATCTTTTCAAATACATAGGCATATTATGAATATACTTTTCTTGCCTATTCTTGCGCCAAGGAAGAAAACGCTCTCCATGGCTTCAAGCAATATTTTCATCGTTCTGCGATCGAAGTATGAAGTTTTTTTGTATTAATAAATAAAAAATTCTGTAAACCATAAATTCAAGAAATCTTTTGTCGTAAAAAGTGTCTCGCCGATGCAAACGCTTTTATGCATTATCAATGTCAGCGCGGGGGGGATGTCGAATTAAGAGAAATTAGTGCACCCAAGGTAAATGCATTAATATCCATCTATTCCGTTGCTTATACCTGAGAAACTTATCGGAAATTCTTGCAAAGCTTTTCTGGGGCGATCCAATTGGTGTTTTCGAAAAAGTCCTCGAAATGGAAAAATGTATCTCCGAAGATCTTTACAAGTTGGATGAAATCGCAGACAAGTGTGGTGATAGGGCAGCTTGCAGCTTTATCGAGAGTGGCTTTTTGGAAAAGGAGGTAAAAGAAAGAAAGTTGGTTTGAATGGTTCTTTAAATTAGCCATGCCTCTTTGACTTCTAATCGATGTATACTAGACGAGGCATGTCAAAACAACTGCCGATTTACTTCGTCAAATGAAACGTGTTCAGGGCGAAGGCGTCGGTCTTTTCAATATTGACAAAGAGTTGCGAAAGAATGAAGGAAAGGTTCCGTGGTCCAATTGTGCCACAGAAGTTCAGGAAGCTCTTCTTAATCTTAAGTTTTAGCTGACTCGTGGATATTTGTCTGGCGTGATACTTTTGAGCACAAATGCGACATTAAATAAAATTACTGCAACTTGCACATTTTCTAATAAGTAACTTTATGTTTTGAAAAATTTTTTTGCTTTATTTTTTAAACCAAATACTATTGATATGCATATTTGCAATGTTCGGTTATTGTATACGTATGAGAAACCAACATTAATATTCGATATTGTACTTTTTACACATCTCAATTGCCTCTTTGAAGTTTTTATAGGCGGCCAATCTCAAATACTTCTCTCCGTCCTGAATGTTTTTCTTAACACCGGGGAGGCTACCGCGGTAAAGTAACTTTCCAACGTTATATGCGGCGATAACATTACCATTTTGTACGGATCTCAAATAATATTCGACAGCTAACTTTCGATCTTTTTGCACGCCATTTCCATGGTACAAACAATTGGCATATCTCAGTTGTGCCTCTCCCATCTCTCCTTCGTCAGATGCTTCCTTGAATAGTGCTGCAGCCTGCGCCATACGTTCTCTTTCACTTAATTCTCCCTCTTTCCATTTCAGAATGTTGTAATATAGAAAATACGCCTTCCAATATTTGGCCTTTAGATCACCCAATTCGGCATAGATGTGAAAGCTTTCCCAAGATTTTCGTTTATTACCCGAAGATGATTTGTGTTCTTCAATTGCCTCTTCAACCGTAAGATATGAAAAAATCTCATCTTCGATTTCATCATCTTTAGGGTCAGTGTCAAGTTGATTAAGTTCTAACTCATTTTTTTGATGATATAATTCTTGCAGGGTGAGAAACATATCGGGAAAAGTAGGCCGGTATCTTGGATCGTGTTTCCACGCTATTGTAAGTAGAGAAATGAATGTACGTACTACACGTGCATGTACCTTTTCAGCAGAACATACCATTTTCCACCAGCTCTTTCCATTTCTTAGGAATATCGTTATTAGGAGAAAAGACCTCACGACGCTTCTTTTTTACCACCAACTCTTGAATGGCGCTGATATTGTGAATATTTCTGTATGGTGGCTTTAGCTCGGCTATCTCCCACATAAGAATCCCGAAACTACATCGTCAACAAAAGCATTCCAATAAGAATCAGGTTTGCTTGAATACATCACACTGTGATGGGTCACCTACCTGTACACTTCACACGCAACATCGTATTTGTAATGACTGTTTGCTAATTTTTCGGGCGCCATATATCTGACATTCCCAATATGCGTTTGAATTCCTGTCGTCAGGCCATCCACAAATCGACTCACAAAAAAATTTGCAATCTTTGCTCGTTTTTGAAGGGTGATCATAATGTTTTCCGGTCTGACATCATGATGCAATATGGAAGCCGAATTAAGGAAATTTAAACCGCGCACTACATCGAGTGCAATGGATATCTTTAGGTCAATGTCGATTTTATTTCTGTTCATAAGATAGAAATCTTTAAAGCTGCCAAATTCCGCCCATTCGGTGACTATATACAGCCTTCCGTTTTCTTCTACCAAACCGTAGAACCGTATTATCTCGTGAATATCTCGGATTTTTGTGAGGATATGCACCTGATCTTGGATGGATCTCTTACTCGATTCTTCTTTCACCTCGATGAATGCCGTATTGACTTTTTCGCTCTTTCGATACCTCTTTTGAACACTTTTGCCGAGATCTTCCGATGCTGGGCCAAACTCGCTACTAGGGATCAATTTGTCTGCATTGAGTTCTTCATTCCTACGATTGAATTGACCAGATTTTTTTTGTCCATTTTTTTCCATGACAGTTACCAGGGTTCTTATCTCCTCTACCACGCCGAGAATATTACCATCGGTATTCGTTATTTGTTCAAGGTACTGATTATGATGAATAAATTTTCATTTGACTCTATAGATAAAACAATGCCTTTCTGTCGAGCTTACCTTCTTCAATACTTCATTATCTGTTCTCAATATTTCCATATCACTTTCTGCCTTTACTGTGTTGGAAATTGTTAACGAAAAGTTTAACACGCTCATATGACCGTCAAAATCTCTGATTAACTCGATGAAAGTTTGTTCAATGGATTTTGAATGAAGATATTTTCTTATTCCGCCAAGTTGAGAGATTTCACCGGCAAAACTTTGAATCCTTTTCATCGTCAAGACGAACTTACTAAAATTAACAAGATTATGAGCGGTAAAGAATGTCTTGTTTTTTTCGTAGAGGACCTCTAAATTTTTCACTGCTGCTTCCGCTATTAGAACCTGGAAAATTTGGATTCAATTTCCATTCGTTAATCGAGCGTTTAACACAAGATAAATCCTTCTAGCTGAAAACAGACCCTCTCAACCAAAGCTCCGCATGTTCTCTTATTAAGTTGGGCAGTTTGATAAATTTTGATGATAGCCGACGTAATTTTAAAGATTTCACCTATCAATGGTAAGAAATTTGTGACCGGAGAGTTTGATAGCGTGGAAAAAGTATCTGCGATAACTGTGATCGAGGAAAGAACGGAAGGAATTGTCGAAGATATGTTTTCAAATACGTCAAGTTCATCGACAAATGAGGTATTTGATTCATCTTGTTCAATGGAACCGGTTGTAAATAATTTTTCAAAATTATTGGAGTCCTGTGTTTTATTAGGCATGACTTTGGGGTTGGTTTCTCCGACAATTGTTTATTTAAATATCGATCTTTTGGTTTACACACCAGCAGAAGATTGTAAGGTCGTTTTTATACAAGGAATTATCTTGAATTGCGTTCAGAATTCATGAAAAAGCGAAAAAAAATGGCAGGGAAAAAGTTCAATATTTTATACGAGTACGTATCATAAGATGAGTTGTATGTTGTATTACCAAGCATTATAGCGCAACAAAATTTTATGGAACCTTGTCAAAAGTTTAATGGTATTTGTTTCTTCCCACAGTATGCAGGGCGCATATAGTTGAATCGTAAATGGAAGCAATAAGCAAATTAGTTCCGCAATTGGTAATAGACGTTATTTGGATAATTATTCCGGTTATATTTGTGTTTTGTCAAAATCATAAAGAAATAATATCTTTCATTTGTCGACTGTAATCTCAATGAAAATTAGAGTTGATTTAACGCATACAGTACTTGATTCACAAAATAAACCTGCAGATAAAGTTCCATCCATCATGAATCAGATTTTCAATACCATGTGACTTTGGATATAAAAAAAAAATTTTTTTTTTTATTGATTCAAAATACTGTATAATTTGATAATCTATGTCTCGAAAAAATTTCAAGTAAAAAACCATTTGATTTAAATAATACATACACTGTATATATACATTAAATAAAAATAAATAATTGCGAATATTTAATTATTAATTGCAATAACCTTTTGTCATCATGTTCTCTTCACATAATTGTTGATAAAAGGTTTTTCTTTGTAATATTTTAAATTACAGTATAATTAATGTTTTTCATTTAATTTTATAGTTAAACAAGTGTGCATTGTTTATTATAATATATATTGTCTTAATCATTTATTTTAGACTGATGTTTTTATATGTAATTTTGAAAATAAAAAAGATTATGTTTTTTTCAATATCTATTGTATCTACTTATAAAATTTAAAATTAAAATCATTATCTACAGTTTATTATTAATGTTTATTTAAATAAAAGCTAAATTTTTTTTTATAATTTTAACTATTTTTCATTTCATTTTTAATTCATTTTTAAATCAACAAATTATTTTAAACTTAAATAAAATTCAATTCTCTTTTATTATTTTTTTAAGAATTTATAAAATCTTGTAACAATTTTTTTATTTTTACTATACAACTATTCAATAAGATAAAATAATTAAAATCCCTAAAACATTTTAAAATATCTCAAAACATTGTAAAACTTTTTAAAACTTTTTGAAACATTATAAAACTTTTTAATATATCTTTGTTTATTATAAATTATATTTATTACATTTATATTTATTTAAAAAACAGAAAAATATTATTATTTGTTCTAGATATTACACAATAGTAAAAATTCAAAGTCATATTTGAATGTTACAAGAATATTGCAGAATGTAAAAAAAACAAAACCAAGCTAAATTTAAAATAATCAAACTTATAAACAAAAACAACATGAAAAAAAAAATTATTAAATACATAAACAATATACAAAAATCAAATATTAGAAAAAAATCATTTCTAAACAAATTAATATATAAAATAATAAATATAGATTTGTACTTATCTGCTATTGGTCAAGTCAAGTTAATAAATAAAATTTTGTTTTTTTTTTATTAACTAATATAAATATCAAGATTAGCAATAATCAATATATCAATAATATTAAGGATTAAATAAAGTCTTTGATCTTATATATCTAAGAGTATTAATATTAACAAGACTTTTACAAATCAATATTTGTTAAACAATACAAATTTCTTAAACTTAATTATAGAAATAATAAACTTACAATACAATTTTAATAGCAATTTATTTAAATTATAAGTTCTTATATCAGTTTTAAAAAAGTATTAACTATTCAATACTAAAACTAATTCAAATTATATTAGATATTTTTAAGATAATAATAATTAATATCATAAATAGATTAATATTAATTTATATATTTTAAATTTGTAAAGATGTTTGATATAATTTAAATATAGTATATATATTAATAAAATTATATATTTGATATTCTTTTCTAATTAAAAAAAATATATTATTATTATTCTTTTTTAATTACAAATAAGTATTAAATATAAGATTTAAGAATTATAACAGTTTGGTTTAAATCAAGTTTAATTAAAATCAAAACTGATCCAATTTATACATGTGTTTATATTTAATTCAGATATTTTTCAAAAACTGTATTATGTTCATATTACTAAATAACAATTAGTAAATAATTGGAAATTGTATTTAATTTAAAACTGTATTGTTGATTAAATTTCCTTTTATAGTAATAAGAAAACATGTATAATCCAATTTATTTTTTTTAAATCAATTTGATTCAAAAACTATTGACTTTATTTTTTATAAA